CATTTTGCGTATAATCTTTTTTTTTATTTTCTGCAACTACAAAAATAGTATTTATGAAGAAATATAAGGAAAATATAAGAGGGAATGGAAAAGTTATTATAAAAGGAAATAAACTCAAATTATTACTTTGTATTTCATTTGTATGTTCTTTATTTTTATCAGATTTCAAATTAATGTATAGTTGTGATTTTGTTTCTTAAAAGGTTTTTTTTCAATTAATGTTTAAAGGGAGAGAAACTTATTTATATATTTTTTTAGACTTTCTGAAAAAAATATGTCTCTCAAAAAATATGAACGGAAAAATAAATATGGGACTAAATATCTCTCATTATAATAGAAAAACTTACCGATAAATTTTGGGTTTAGATTCTTTATAGGTTTTAATATTTGCATAAAAATGATTAAGTAAAAAGAGATATACAAGCTTTTAGGATTAACATAAATCCAAATGTTGGAATAGAATTTTGTTTTTGTTAAAGGTGAATAGAATTTTCAAAAAGAAGAATTTCTTTATTGTAGGAAACCCAACTATTTCAAAACCTGATTAGATGAAACCAATTCTCCCATGATTTAATGATTTTATGATCAACAACAACTAACCAGTACTTTTCAAAAATCTACACCAGTTTAAGAACTTAGGGATATTACGGTTGATTAGACGCAAGATTAAGAGCAAATCACATCAATCTTATAATAGATTGCTCGAATTTAAATATTGTATACCATTGTACATTAAGAGAAAAGCATTATTACATAAAAAGCAAATCAAGTAAGAGATAGATTTTTTTTATTTAAAGAGCAAATTATGAAAAAGATAGATCAACTTTAGAACTTGCGACCAAGAGTGAGCTCAAGGAACAAAGTCTCATCATTGTTACCATCATCATTGTCCACTTCATTATTTTCAGTTTTATTCGTTCCAATCTGCCATATCCAGTTATATACATTATTATATGTGAATGAAATGATGCGTATCAAATCTTCAATAAAATTTGTGCATATTTGGTCATTGATAATCATGTTTGATGATTATAGCGTAAGAATTTTAAAATGAGAAAAACTTAAAAATTTTAAACAGAGAGAAAAATTACTCTTGAAGATTGAAACAGAGACTTACAAGATATTTCAATAGCTCTCTTACTTGATTCTCCCATTTCCATTTTTTTTTCCTGCTTTCTTTCTTCTTCTCTACAATATTGATTAAAAAAGTTACACTCAAATTTAAAACAGAATATATATATATATAGATATTAAGTTTTTAATTTAATATTAATTAAGTATTATACGAACATTTTTCGCACAGAGTTGATAATTTCTACAAGACGTTCATATTGATAAAGGTGTTGTTGAGTTTGCCTCAAAATCATTTTTCTTGTGAGTCTTTCCCTTCGAATTGCTTGTACCTCTTCTTCAATAAGACGTGTGAGTGTATAGATTTTTATTTTCTATATAATATTTACATATAAATGCTTTTTAAAAAAAACTTTAACATATTTGTCTGAACATCTATTTTTATTTTTTTATATTTCCTAAAATATTTTTTTATACAGATACTTATAGAAAATAAATTTTATTTATAAATATAATAATAAAGTAAATATAAATATATATAATACTTATTCACCTTTTTTTTACTCATCAAGCTTGGTGGTCCTATACATCTGATGAAGGCAGAAGCATAAAAGATAGTTCATATTAAGCCCAACATAATATGAAAAACTTGACAAAATATATATACGCATATATTGTGAAGAAATGAAGAAATTAAATCATGTATATATATGTAACGTACTAGAGATGGCTCTTTACATGTGATATAGTGACTCCTCCAATATTCATTATCCCCAAAAATAAACAAGAAATTTTACTATAGATACGTGAATAACCCAACAATGATCTGGAATTTATACATTTTTAGTGTTTTATATACTTGCAGAACTATTTATTTGCAGCAAATAAAAAAAAACAATTATCCGCAAAATAAATTGTTTCTAGTTGTAGCTAAAAACTGAAATAGTTAGGGGGTGTGAATGGTAAAAACTTATTATAAGGATTATTTAAGGTACAACTATAAACAACTTATTTTGCGTATAATTTCTTTTTTATTTGCTGCAACTATAAAAATAGTATTTAAGAAGAAATATAAGGAAAATATAGGAGGGAAAGAAAAAATTATTAGAAAAGGAAATAAATCCAAATTATTACTATTTCATTTGTATGTCCTTATTTTTATCATATTTCAAATTAATGTATAATTCCGATTTTTTTTCTTAACAGGTTTTTTTTCTATTTGTTTTTAAAAGGAGAGAAATTTCTTTATATATATTTTTTAGACTTTCTGAAAAAAGATGTCTCTCAAAAAATATGAACGGTAAAATAAATATGGGTTCAAAAATCTCTCATTATCATAGAAAAACTTACCGATAAATTTTGGGTTTAGATTCTTTTATAGGTTTTGATATTTGCATAAAAATGATTAAGTAAACAAGAGATTTTAAAGCTTTTAGGATTAACATAAATCCAAATGTTTGAATAGAATTTTGTTTTTGTTAAAGGTGTAAAGAATTTACAAAAAGAATAATTTCTTTATTATAGGAAACCTAAATATTTCAAAACTTGATTAGATGAAACCAATTCTCCTACGATTTAATGACTTAATGATAAACAACAACCAAACATTTTTAAAAAATCTACACCACTTTAAAAACTTACAGATATTACGGTTGATTAGACGCAAGATTAAGAGCAAATCACATCAATCTTATAATAGATTGCTCAAATTTAAATATTGTATACCATTGTACATTAAGGGAAAAGCATTATTACATAAAAAGAAAATTAAGTAAGAGATAGATTTTTATTTATTTAAAGAGCAAATTATGAAAAAGATAGATCAACTTTAGAACTTGCGACCAAGAGTGAGCTCAAGGGACAAAGTCTCATCATTGTTACCATCATCATTGTCCACTTCATTGTTTTCAGTTTCATTCGTTACAATCTGTCATATCCAGTTATATACATTATTATATGTGAATGAAATGATACGTATCAAATCTTCAATAAAATTTGTGCATATTTGGTCATTGATAATCATGTTTGATGATTATAGCGTAAGAAGTTTAAAAAGAGAAAAAACTTAAAAATTTTAAACATAGAGAAAACTTACTCTTGAAGAAAACAGAGACTTGCAAGATATTTCAATAGCTCTCTTACTTGATTCTCCCATTTCCATTATTTTTTCCTGCTTTATTTCTTCTTCCCTACAATATTGATTAAAAAGGTACATTCAACTTTAAAACAAAATATATATATATGTATCTATATATATATATATGTATTAAGTTTTTAATTTAATATTAATTAAGTATTATACGATATTTTTTCGCATAGAGTTGACAATTTCTTCAAGACGTTCATATTGACAAAGGTGTTGTTGAGTTTGCCTCAAAACAATTTCTATTGTCAGTCTTTCCCTTCGAATTCTTGTACCTCTTCTACCATAGGACATGTGAGTGTATAGATTTTTATTTTCTATATAATATTTACATATAAATGCTTTTTTAAGAAAACTTTAACATATTTGGTCTGAGCATATATTTTTATTTTTTTATATTTCTGAAAATATTTGTTTTTATACAGACACTTATAGAAAATTAAAATTCTTTATAAGAGATAATTACAGTCTATGGCTCTTTTTTCAGAATATTTACACTCTATAGCTCTTTTGTTTGAAGTAGCTCTTTCTCATGTTTTTTTAGGGTAAAATTATGTTGCTACCCCCGTATTCAACTTCTCCTTCTAAACCGTTTTCATCATTTTAAACCGAAAGCTAGAAACCGGTAACTAGCTGTTTCTAAATTCTTCCAATTTCTGTAATTCTATCCTCACCATCGTCGACCTGCACGAAAGCGATGTTGCAGGTCGTGCTCGAAAGTGAAACCAAGATCTGAGCTTTCACCATCATCGACATTAATCTGGAGGGATGGATTACCTGTGACGCTCCCCTTCGATTGTGTTAGGTCTGTCATTCGGTTCCTTATCAAAAAAGAGCCAACCCCGAAGTCGCAGCTCCATCTCAGATGTCGAATCGTTAGCTTTACTGCCATCCACCCAAATGCGGACACAACGATTTATGGTGTCAAGGTTATTATTATATATTGATGGTTCCAGATTGGTAAGAATGTAGTTTGCATGGATACGAACATGTAACACCTGCTTTACATGTTTCACCATTGTATGTGTCCACATTATGAGATAATTACACTATGACTCTTTTTTCAGGATATTTTACATTATGAAATAATTTTCACCATTGTACGTGTCCAACGTTCTCGTTTTTTCCCGTATATATTAAAGGATTATCCACAAGTTTGAATCTTATCGGTCCATTCAAAACATGGCATGTGAAACCTGTTACCAAATTTCATATCCAGTAATGTGAATTCCCGTATAATTTACAACATATTATAAATGCATTTTTGCATGGACCCGAACATGTTATAGCTGTTATTTTAACACGGTCGCTCTGACCCGGAGGTTACAACCGTATTTTATGACCATACCCCGTATTTCTGTATATATTATAGACTTATCCACATGTTTAATGCTTATTCAGCTCAATGCCAAAAAATGCTTTTTAAACTTGTAACCATACAATACATACAGTACTCAGTATTTTCGTATATACTATAGGCCTATCCACATGTTTTTTTCATGGACCCGAGCATGTCCTAGCTGTTATTTAAAGAAGATTTCGCTTACACGAAGGTTCCATGCTCATATTATGACCATATCCATGTTTAACGCGTATGCGGGTCAATGCCAAATAGGCTTTTTAAACTTTTAACCATACAATATATACAGTACTCGATATCTATAGGAATTAGGTTTAGATTATAGGGTTTTTCAAATGGATGTAACTTACATTATTGGCTGCGGCCATAGAGACTATCATTTTCATGTTACAACAAAAGAGAGAAAATACAACACCACCATTTATTTCATCCAACTAATCTGATTATCCCTAACATGAGCAGACATCCAACTACGACTAGCATTATCATTTTCCTCATACCACACTTGGCTTCAGCCAACACATCTTCAACCCTGTCAAATATTTCCTTCTCAAGCTTCCTTTGAACTTTTTCAAAAATCATCTTCTCCAAACCCAATTTCTCAGTTGCCGATTCCTTTATCTCTTGCTCAAGGCTTGAATTCTTGATTTGCAGTCTCTCAATCTCATCTAACAGAGCCTCATCAACCCATTTGAAGTTGTGATTATCATTCACAATCTACAAAAAATGTTGATTCAAGAAGACAGCGATAAGAACCATTTCCGTGTAAGCGACATCACACAAAGCATATATCCTTCACATTACCTTCTTTGATGCAGCATACGCACACCTGAAGTATCGCCGATACGGATTGTTGTCGGATTTTGAAATCAAAGCCACAATCTGTTCACCACACCAAAATTTCTTAGGAACACCCACAATTCTTTTTGGACGGCTACTAGTCGATCCACTCGAACCAGACACGCTGCCTGATGCACCAGACATCTCTAATCTTAACCTACAAAATAGAAGAAGTATAGTACAAAATAGTAGAGTACGAAGAAGTAGAGTTCGAAATAGTTAGACTGCAAAATCGGACTCCTTAATAACGAAATAGAAGAAGTAGAGTACGAAATATGGATCTTACTTTGATTTTTTTATGGTCTAATCGAAATCGGCGCAATCTATCCAATATATGGTCATTTACAAATATATGTTCTAATCCAATATTACTTGATTTCCGTATACATTTACGGGTTATCCACATATAATTGATAAAGTAATATTATTGCCGCGTTTTATGGGTTATCCACATATAAAGCAATGGTCATATCCATAGTTGCCGTGTTAATATGTGAGTCTCTAATACGTTGCATCCACAAGGATTCGACCATCACGTACTCGCACCTCATTTGTATGTTTTTCAATAAACTATATCGCTCACCATCACGTACTCGCACCCCATTTGTAGTATGTTATCCACATATAAAGCAATGCTCGTATCCATAGTTGCCGCGTTAATATGTGAGTCTCTAATACATCGCATCCACAATGATTAGACCATCACGTACTCACACCCCATCTGTATGTTTTTCAATAAACTATATGGCTCACCATCACGTACTCGCACCCCATTTGTAGTATGTCCATACAGAACGCCTAAAAAAAGTGTTATTCATATCAAACACTTTTAGTTTTTCCCTGTAATCAATTTCATTTGGATACTATCCGTTAACCTCGTATACATAGTGGAAGTATGGTCACTTCCATATTCTCCCATATCCACATGGATCACATGTTTGAGCATGGTGTATTCCATAACCCATCGGCTACACATCGATGCGATTTTAAGGGTCTTATATGGATAAGCAAATAATAATTCTAGGTGATTATATGGATAAGCAAACAATAAGTCTAGGTGATTATATGGATAAGCAATATGGATAAGACCCGTACATTTTAACTGTCTGTTCGATGTCAACATTAAAAACATGAGAAAGTCGTGGACACGACCATAATCTCACATATCCACACAATACATACAGGTTAATGATGCATCCTTCGAGACCCCGATTATGTAACTACAATGATTTCACATTGATTTGATTTTGGCATTGATAGTCTCCGAATCCACTTTATGGTTTTCAATAAACTATATTGCTAACCATCACATACTCGAACCCCAATGATGGTCTAATTCATGTGGATGCGATGTATATGACCCCATGTGAACCCCAACATTAAAAACATGAGAAAGCCGTGGATAATACCATAAGTAGCGGGAGCATGGGCACGACCATAATTGATGCAATTTTTAAGGGTCTTATATGGATACGCAAACAATAAGTCTAGGTGATTATATGGATAAGCAATATGGATAAGACACATACATTTTAACTGTCTGTTTGATGTTAACATTAAAAACATGAGAAAGCCGTGGACATGGCCATAAGTTGTGCGAGTATGGGAACGACCATAATCTCACATATCCACACAATACATACAGGTTAATGATGCATGCTTCGAGACCCCGATTATGTGATTACAATAATTTCATGTCAAACATTTTTTACCATGGTCGTATCCATAACTTATTGTCTACACATTGATTCGATTTTGGCATTGATAGTCTCGAATCCACTTTATGGTTTTCAATAAACTATATTGCTAACCATCATATACTCAAACCCCATTTATAGTATGTCCGTATCCATAGTCGAGCGCAGCTCAAAATATGGGAGTCTCTAATACATCGCATCCACATGGATTAGACCATCATGTACTCGCACCCCATTTGTAGTATGTCCATACAGGGCACCTAAAATAAAGTGTTATTCATATCAAACACTTTTAGTTTCTCCCTGTAATCAATTACATTTAGATACTTACAATTAACCTCGTTTACATAGTGGAAGCATAGTCACTACCATATTATCCCATATCCACATGGATCACATGTTTGATATGGTCAAATCCATAACCCATCGGCTACACATCGATGTGATTTTAAGGGTCTTATATGGATAAGCAAACAATAAGTCTAGGTGATTATATGGATAAGCAATATGGATAAGACCCGTACATTGTAAGTGTCTGTTCGATGTGAATATTAAACTGAGTATACCATGGATATGATAATATGTAGTGGGAGCATTGGCACGACCATATCTCACATATCCACACAATACATACAGGTTAATGGTTGCATCCATCGAAACCCCGATTATGTAACTACAATAAGTGTATGTGAAACATTTTTGAGAATGGTCGCGTCCATAACTTATTGTCTACACAATGATTCGATTGTGGCATTGATAGTCTCGAACTCACTTTATGGTTATCAATTTTATATCAGGACGCCTAAAATAAAGTGTTATTTATATCTCACACTTTTCTTTTCTCTCGGTTATCAATTTCATTTGGATACTATCCGTTAACCTCGTTCACATAGTGGAAGCATGGTCACTTCCATAATCTCTGATATCTACATGGATCACATTCTTGAGCATAGTCAAGTCCACATCTTATCGAATACACATTGACGCGATTTAAAGTGCTGATTTGAATGATGATATTTCTAAGACGCGAACGGCCCCGATATGACTCGCCGACGTTAAGTGGATGGCAATCTGTAATTTCATCCTTATGGATAACCTTACATTGTTTATTCCGTTTCTTAATATGGTTGCGTCCACTGTCATTCGTGTAAGCTTTTGTGTCCATGTCCACGTAGATACACTCATATCTATATAAAACTTAAAACGCATTGGATTTAGCTTTGTGGTCCATAAAATTTACCTCCATCGTTGGAGGAAGCGGAATTGGTTAACGGGGTCATCACTTATTATACGACGACCATATAATATTATATATTTACTATCGACATGTGACTCTATCCACACTCATGACAATTCATTATAATATCCACGCCTTTCTGAGTAATTTAGACAACCTTTTTCGCGTCTTCTAATATCCACGCGTCCGTATATGGTCACATCCCCCATCTATTATTACTGTTGACCTAATTTGCGAGCCCGCCAGTCCTCATCCGAAACGATTTGTATTCGACAACCTGCCAGACAAACAGGAAACGACTACACGATCCCACCATTTGATTTGAGATTCGACCGGCTAGTGCCTCTCGGAACTCGATATGATATTCGACCGGCTTGTTAAGAAGAACAGAGAATCTACTCAGAACTCGATCTTGAAAACACCCACCTGGGAAGTCCAATTTCTTCTATAAGGTAGAGGCTTGTTACATGCCCCACCTGGGAACTCGATCTTGAAAACACTGTGCCCCACGAATTGATATAACACTCAACGGAATTTTGTAACTCGGAATTATGAGTCAACTTGGAACTCGAGACTGAAAACAACCATTCACCAAAGTTATCTTCCCGAAACAATGAGAAAACTCTTGAAACAGTCGGTTTAATCTTTCTCTTGGTTTAATCTGCTTAACCGAAACTCTTTAGTTTAGAATGGGTAAGGACAAGACAATAATTTTTAACCTCAATCTCAAAAAAAGAGCTACTACAAACTAAAGTGCTAAAACTTGTAAATGTAAAGTCAAAAAGTGCCATACAGTGTAAACGACTCTTCTTTATAAATATAATAATAAAGTAAACAGAAATGTATATAACACTTATTCACCTTTTTCTATTCATCAAGCTTGGTAGTCCTATACCTCTGATGAAGGCAAAATCATAAAAATAGTTCATATTAAACTCAACATAATATGAAAAAATTGACAAAATATATATACGCATATATTGTGAAGAAATGAAGAAATTAAATCATGTATATATATGTTACGAACTGGAGATGGCTCTTTTCATGTGATATAGTGACTCCTCCAATATTCATTATCCCCAAAAATAAACAAGAAGTTTTACTATAGAGACGAGAATAACCCAACAATGATCTGGAATTTATACATTTTTAGTGTTTTATATACTTGCAGAACTATTTATTTGCAGCAAATAAAAAAAACAATTATACGCAAAATGAATTGTTTATAGTTGTAGCTAAAAACTGAAATAGTTAGGAACTGTGAATGGTAAAAACTTAATATAAGGATTATTTAAGCTACAACTATAAACAACTCATTTTGCGTAGAATTGCTTTTTTATTTGCTGAAACTATAAAAATAGTATTTAAGAAGAAATATAAGGAAAATATAGGAGGGAAAGAAAAAAATATTTGAAAAGGAAATAAATCCAAATTATTACTCTTTCATTTGTATGTTCCTTATTTTTATCAGATTTCAAATTAATATATAATTCTGATTTTTTTCTTAAAAGGTTTTTTTTTCTATTTTTTTTTTAAAGGGGAGAAATTTCTTTATATATTTTTTTTAGACTATCTGAAAAAAGATGTCTCTCAAAAAATATGAACGGTAAAATAAATATGGGTCCAAAAATCTCTCATTATCATAGAAAAACTTACCGATAAATTTTGGATTTACATTCTTTTATAGGTTTTGATATTTGCATAAAAATGATTAAGTAAAAAAGAGATTTTTAAGCTTTTAGGATTAACATAAATCCAAATGTTTGAATAGAATTTTGTTTTTGTTAAAGGTGAATAGAATTTTCAAAAAGAATAAATTCTTTATTATAGGAAACCCAAATATTTCAAAACTTGATTAGATGAAACCAATTCTGCTACGATTTAAGGACTTTATGATAAACAACAACCAAACATTTTTAAAAAATCTACACCACTTTAAGAACTTACAGATATTACAGTTGATTAGACGCAAGATTGAGAGCAAATCACATCAATCTTATAATAGATTGCTCGAATTTAAATATTGTATACTATTGTACATTAAGGGAAAAGCATTATTACATAAAAATCAAATTAAGTAAGAGATAGGTTTTTTTATTTTAAGAGCGAATTATGAAAAAGATAGATCAACTTTAGAACTTGCGACCAATAGTGAGCTCAATGGACAAAGTCTCATCATTGTTTCCATCATCATTGTCCACTTCATTGTTTTCAGTTTCATTC